CACGCTGGGGGCGTTCCCAAGGCGTCAAGTGACGCATCGAGAGTTCCCTCGAAAGGGAACCTATATGACAACTACCTGTCACCTGATCGATAACAGATGGACTCGGCAGTCTTATGTTTTGGAAACCAAACCTTTACCTGAAGAATATAAACCCAGTCATGTTGTTGGACAACTTCTGAAAATAGCAGACACATGGAGACTTGGAAGCAAGATTAAAGTGGTGGTGACAAATGTAGATGGGATGAAGAGAGACATCAAAAAGGCAGGATGGGATCTCATTCCCTGTTTCGCCAATACACTGGATGCGGTCTTCAAGGAGACACTTGAGGCATCTTCTGACTGGAAAGAACTGGTGCAAAGATGCTGTGAAATATCAGAGTATTTTTCTCATGTAGAAGCACAAGGTCACCTCAAGAAAGCACAAATAAAAATGGGGTTACCACAACATAATCTGGTTGAGTCCAAGGGTGATAAATGGCTTTCTACGCTGAACATGCTAGTAAGAATCTCAGAGCAGCATCGAGCTGTACGTGAAGTGCTTCTTGGATTTAAATGTGACTTGTTGTTAAGTGAGCATGAACTTAAAAACATAATAAAAACAACATCATGCCTCAAGGCATTCAAGTACGTCACGTCACCAGCAGAGCGATACCACTCACTGTCAAACATTATACCACAGGTGGAGAACATTAAGAAGAAACTCCTGCACTTGCAACGAGGAGGGAATGAGTTCGCAAAGGAATTAGCACAACATTTGAATCATCACTTCAGTAAAGCCAAAGAAAATGATTGGCTGACACTGAGCACCACACTTGACATGAGATACCGAGACATCGCTCTCTCTGAGAAGGGTGCTTCTGCACGCATTAAGAACAAGATCTTTGCCGAGATGAAACACCTGGCTGAAGAAAGTCAAGGGAGGAGCTTAAGACAGCCAGACAGTTTTCATAAAGATTTGAGGAGAAACTTGGAAAAGGAAATGTTGCAGAGCAATTGGGAGCCTCTTGCATTCTGTGTTGCACGCAAATACCTGGCGGTTGTGTCCACCGCGGTACCGGCTGACATCGCCTTTGACACAGAGAAAGCCAGACTCGTGGCCAGTCGAAGAAGTAACTTGGATCCGGAACATCTGAACATGATGCTGTTTCTAAACGGCAACCGTTTCCTTCTCTCTTAACTATTTAAATGGAGGGCAAAATAATTATAGCCTGTTAGTCATTAAAGATGGACATTTTGGAAACATTACCTGATATGTTGGTAGCATTATAAAAAAATAATAACAAATGGGGTTAATAATGCCAAAGCACCAAAGCAAGAATCCCCAGTTTTAAATGACTGGTTAGATTTAGTTTCTAAAGTAGACTACACTATGGAGATGATGACTGGAATCAGGAGCAAAATTTTACGTTTTGAAAAGACATGGGCACCTCTAAAATCAAACAGTATTCAATAAAATAAAAGAATATATTACATTAATTTCCTTTTTTATATAACCCTCCCTCCCTTTTAATTTTTTTATTTGTTTACTTATTTAATATTATTATTATTTGATGTTTAAATAATATTACTTGAATTACTTATGAATTATGTGTCATTATAAGAGTTTGATATAAATATGTGAATGTTTAATTTTTATTAATATATTGTGTATTTTTTTTTCTTTTTCCCCTTTTTTCATATGTAAAAGTGTCTAACTACTTATTGGTAATTGTTCTAAGTTTTTTTTTATGTGTTGGTGGTGGGTATTATAACAAAAGGAAAAAAAAGAAAGGAACAATAAGAAATAATAATTATGGGGAAAAATAGGAAAAGGAAATTGAAAGACATAATAAAGTATATTAATATATACTAAAATGTTTGTTGTTGGACATAAGATTTATTATTTTAAACCTACAAGTTTATTCTTATGATAGCAATAACTGTAAAGTGACTATTGTAATGGGGTAAATCAAAGGCTAATATATTGTAGGCCAATTATTAAGCTCAGATTATTTTTTACCAGTTCAAATTTATTCTGTGCTTTTTTTATTTTAACTTCTGCTTCAAAAAGCATTTTTTTTAGATTGTAATGTTCTTTTAATAACCATAAATATATGCTACAAAGATAAAAATGTAAAAACATACACACGTGTTCAATTATATTGTATAATATCAACTTTATGTAAAAAAGAAAATAAATTATATTTATATATATACACAACTTTAACAAACATTTCATATACAATATTATTGAACAGATAAGACTATATTGTATCATTTATCATTGTAGCCATATTTATGTTGATTTTCTGTATACTGTATATTTATTTTTGGACTTATAGTGGTTAATAAAGTAAAATAAAGTAAAATAATGATCAGTGGTAATATCATTGTGTTCCTGTCGGTCAGTGCTAGACGAACTGTAACAACTCAGGCTTAGTCTGACAGTTATCCTGCCCTGGACCAGGTTAGTCTCTCAGCATAAGTTGCCTGAGTGATTGAGTTTGAACTTTGAGCTATGTTAAATTATAGCTTTATGAAACCAAATCATTTGACAATGAGTCAGACTAACTGAAATAAGCCTGGCTTATTTGGTAAACTTGTTTTATGAAACAGGCCTCAGGACTGAGTTTGGACCCCCCCCCAACTTAGACGTTTTAATAATCAGTGATTATACACAAGAGTGAGAAAATTGTACAATACTATTCCTTATAATCCAGTTTTTAGGTGAAGTCGAGAAAGGGCAACAATTGTAATATATTTTACACACTGTAAATACCCCTGAAAAAAAAAAGATGTTGCATTAAAATAAACAAAATACAATGTTTTTTTTTTCTTTTTCTTAAAGGCGAATAAGATTATATTTCAAAATATTAGCTATTGATAGCCAGTCACCTTTAGCTGTACTTCTAGAATGAGGGTTGACCACAAGATGGCAGTAGGAACTCAGCTATACTATACGCAAGCCTAGATTCATTATAGTGTTTACACTTATCATAATATTTTCACATTATAGGGAATATTAAAATATTTTTCGGGTAAACAATCTATCAACATATTTAATGTCAAGTTGCTTACCTTATAGCTCATGTTCACCTTGAATCCACTCCCTCCAATGCATTTCCATGCAAATCCTAAAAACTGATAATGTGTTCATTTCAGTAAGGAAGAGATAGAGTACTAAATGAATTACACATATAGTCCCGGTAGAGAGGTTCTGTCCATGTTTCACACTTGTAGAGGTGCATCTCCATTTTATTAGGTCCACCCCCTATTGAGAAGAATTTACTTTTTGAAATATAATAATTGACTATTGGATTGAATTGGAGTGAATCTGTCAGATCGGTTTCATCAGCACAATGTGCGCAGAGTTCCCTGAGTCAACATACTGGAAAAGCTGTGATACAGTAGTTTTAGCCTGACGATAATTATTAAGCATGCAAATCTGCTACAACATGAACAAACTTGCTCAGGTATTTTGTTTTACTCCTAAATGATGATTCGCATTGACAGTCATGAACACCAGTACAAATTATGGCCCTTCAGTGAAGTTTATCAGCTTTCTTATTTATTGAAAAATAGAACTGTTATTTTGCAAGGGAAAGTAAGGCAGGGCATTATATATTATTTCAGTACAGAATAATACAGACATTAAGTGAAAAAAAAAAGATAAACAGCAAATACTTGGAAATTAAAGAGATGGTTCATACTTTAGTGTTTGTCAATAATTATCTGTAGGAAGATGTTGTGCTATACATATAGTAATCAAGCAAAGAAACTATAGTAACCTCTATGCCATCATATATGGATGATACTGTTGTCTCTCTAAGCATAGACACTAGTAAAAGTATTGATGGCCTGTAAGAAAACTACTCAAAACTGTAGAGGGAGCCCAGGTGCTCTCAAAACCTGTTACAGTCCAGCATTCCAGCTCATTTTCAGTCCCACAAATCCAGTTCCGGACATCTGGTCATCTTCAAAAACTTTGCGTGCAGCGTGATATCTCCAAGACCACTTCCTTAACCCGTATGAACAAAAATTAAAGGGCAACAAAACAGGAAAAGAAGAAATTGGCACATTTGATTATCCTCCTTTTGTGCTAGAAGACAAATGCAGCATTTCAACCAGATATAAGGCAACACAAGCCCCACTGTACCCCTTTAATAAAGCCCCCTTTTCCAAACCATTCTATACACAATGAAAAACACCCTAGGAAACATCTCACGGTTTCCCTTTTAGAGTTCTTATTAATCGTACCTTACTTGTTCCTCTGTACAGACATGCTGAGTTCACAAACCACCGAAAAACAGATGAGCAAGCAAATAATGTAGTTGCAGTCTGATCACAAAGAACAGATTACAAAGTGAAGGTAAAGGCCACAGAGAAATCAGTATAATAATTCTGTATCGCAGAAACCAACTGTTTACAAATATAACCGATTCTACAAAATGGTTTTCTCTTCAGCTCCTAGTGTGCTTATAATGTCAGATTGCAGGGCCAGCACTGTTGACTAAACGATAACGTCAATCAAAAAAACTCAAATATACATGAAATGAATAACTGAACATTATGTACATATATGAAAAGTGGAAGACTTAAATTATCTCCCCAAAACATAACTGTGATCCAAAGTGCACGATAAACAGTTAATACTTGCTGAGATACCAGGATGTTAATCATTGGCATTTGGCAATTATTTGATGTTTTCTGTGGTGAGCCTATAGTGTTAAATATGTTGTCAGTTTTATGGCAAATTTGCTAACTGTTGTTTTAAAACATTTTTTTTTTCTTGCTAGTTTGTGAAAGACTCATAATAGAGACCTAAATGTGAAGTGTGTAATTTTTGCAGCACTAAACAGAATTTTAAAAATGACTAATGGTAGATGCAGATGTTTGAAACTTGTCAAAAAACACCAGTCAAACAAATGCATAGCCCCGCCCCCAAACTCCCATGATTGGCTGAGCCGATGTTATGGAACCATTTAAATATTTCGAATTACCATAAACTGAATACTGCAGAGTTTAATTATTATTATTTATGAATTCCATTTTGGTGCAGCTAGTGGCATGGAAATTACACACTTCTCTTTTAAGGAAAATCAAGTGAAAGCTTTGAAATATAATGTGAATTAATTGAATTGGAATGAGTCAGATCTGTTTCATCCGCATCAACAATCTCTGTAAGATAATATTGCATGGAGGATCAAGTTTGCTCATTTTGAGATTAAAGAATTTGAATAAAGTACATGTTTATGCTTAACCGACGCAAAGGGTATGGCACGAACTCACAGAGTGGCTATACAAGTTACAGTCTTATCACGGGGTGATAGGTCTTATCTCTCTTCAAAACCTAAATACAGAAATACAAAGAACAACAAGAGTCATTCAGAGATGAAAACCCCTAGCCACTTCTGCTGATGAGCATGGTTTGAAGATCGAGGCACTACACTAGACCCTGAATAAGAGAGCGACCCCTTCATCTCTGAGCCTATACAATGATAATCAAATAGCACACTTCTCAGCCCTCTTGACATCAATCCTCATTCACACACACAAAATTGACGTCGTCATTGGTTCCACTCACACTGATTCTACTGCCTCCTAACAGTGTCACCACTGCTCTCGGGTTCTGTATCCCATCAATCTAAAGTCTCCAAGATTGAGAATTTCATGTGACCCGACAGGAAATCCTCTTAAACACACATGGACCACATGACAAAGTCCAGATCCACTACATAAACAACTCTCAACAGGAAAAAAAAAGGTAACATATGCCAGAGATATAGCGTTGTGTTGAACCTCCAAACACGTTTATGTCATTCGAATCATCACTTCAACATTTACATCAATACAGACTTGTGTACAAGGCAAAATTTTGGATATAACTTAAAGATGGAATCAAAAACTGTAAAACATAGGAAACTTAAGACTGTTGGCAATAATTTGGAAGTCCAAAGGCATAAGCGAGCTGCATCCGAGCACTGTGTCGATCATGGGAGATTCTGAGGTTTGGTTCCACACAAACCTCCTGTATCAGCGTTCCCAGTGGTCAACACTGGAATTCATTAATGATACTCACGAGACCGTAATTACCATTTGAAACCGAATTTCCTCGCCTTGGCATATGCAAACACACAAGCACATTCCTCTCACAGCTGTGGCGGCTCTGGTGAAAGTCACTAGTAACAGAAGGTTTGTATACCCGAACTAGGAATTGTAGTGAAAAAGTATTTAGCAAGGGCTAAAACATACGTTTTCCCTTTCATCTCCATTATCAAATCAGTCCTCCATGGCAATGTACAAGCTTTGCATTCACCAATCGACCACAACCCACCTCCTCCTCTTCTTTTAGTCTTTGCAAAGACTGTTATGGCAACTTACAGCTCATTTTACAGCTTAATCTCGTCGTCATCGTCATCATCCATGTAGGAGAAGTCTCTGTCGTCTTGCACTCGAGGTGAGCTGTACTTGATGTCGTCCATATTTGCCTCATAAATCTGATTGTGGGGTTTTTCATCCAGCACGGTGGACCCTGAACTTGAGAGGGAACAGCTGTCCAAGTGTTGATGGTTCCTGGTTTGGAGCTCTGGAGTGTAAGGGTTGGTGCCTGGCCTTTGGCGTGGAGGGCGGATCGGAGGAAGGGGGTCCTCTTCCTCGACTTCATTGGGAGGACTCTGGGGCGGCGAGCTGCTCTTCCCCTCTTCGAATCCCAGATCGTCATCATCTAAGCCCTTCTTCTCCATCACACTCAGGATGTCGCCCAGCATGGAGGGACCCAGATCAATGTGGAAGGACATGATGGACTCTGCATGTTTCATGCCTCCGGTGTAAGGAACTGACGGACGCAAGTCGGTCAGCTCACCAAAATTCCTCTCGTCCAGCTCCAAGTCCGATACAGCGGGCGCTCCAGCTCCGTTAAGCGGCTTTCCATCAACTTCCGGAACGTTCTTTAAAGGGCTTGAGGACACGCTCTTGGGAAGGTGGATTTCTGTCCCCCGTCCTGCGTAGTCATCATTCAAATATGGCAGCGAGATTGCATTTTTTACATAACTTGGCGAGCCACCAGGGGGCGCTAGTTTGGATTTGTCCGGCTTGTCGCGATTGACCGATTGGGAGCGCTTGCTGCTTCGGAACGTACGGGAAAGGAGGCTCTGTTTAGGTGAGCTCTGCTGTACCTCCGGCTCCCTAGGTGGCTCCCCTGAGCGGCTGCTAAGAAAGGAGGTGTCCCCGAAAGCGTCGCCTCCTCGCCCCACATGCATAGTGTGACGGAAGTCTCCCAGAGGTGCACTGATCATTTCTGCAGTCAAGTCAGCACGAGAGCGCCGCTTTGACTGGGAGGACGAGGACACGAGCTGCTTCAAAATAGGCATGATGACTCCTCAAATACTGTCCACAGACAATTAAAAGCACCAAAGTCTTTTCTCGCCAAGAGATGGGTCACTGTTTCTTCTGAAGGTGTAGATCCAGGACAGTGGTCAGGATGAAAACTCTTCTGAAAATCTAGGACACAGCCATTTTTATCCTTAAAGTACAGTGTCCTTCCTTCAACATCTGACCTATAACAGAAGAGAAAAGAAACAATAAATGTCATTTTAATTTTACAAAGCTAACATTTTATTACCTAATCTGAGACTTTCCCTCAGATCTAAAAGATTCCCTTTTATTTTAGAATTTAAGTTTAACTGTCAGCTGATGGAATATATTACAATGAGAAATTTTGGGCCATGCTGATGGCATCACATGCTAAATGTATGTCTTAATTTGTTTTAAATTGATAAATTATAGGGGAAACTTGCTTTGAAAAAGAAAAAGGGGTGATAAAAAACTAAGCAGTTCACCTCTAAAGCCACTTGAAGTATTACATAACACATTAACGGAGAGGTGGAAGAGGTTGGAAAATGAATTCCCATTTCATCCCATAAGCCATGAGCCTTTTTATTGTTCTTGGAGGAAGTGTGGTCATGAAAGGGTAACACGTTGCACGAGTGTTGATTTACAGAGCTCTTGTTACTGAAGGATTTACTTTTGCATGGTGGTCACCAAGTCACCACACAAACCAAAGCTTTGTACACTTCCAACTCTGCTTGCTATGAACTTTTGAACCATCTGTTTACTCAGAGGAATCTGGAATTAAACCACACAAATGGCATGCCAAATTCTAGGGCCTAAGATCAGCTTTCGGAAAAAAAAAAATTATTGACTTCTATGAACGTGTGTCAGTATTGGCACGGGACATCAGTGCTCCAAAACTGATCAAGAAAAAGCACACAACAGACTCCTCCCATGAGTAAATACTTCTATATTTGAAAAGTAACACAGAACTGCAATTGTAATTTAGCAACAGTTCTTCAAAACAGTAAAGAAGTTTTAATGAAAGTAGCCTTGCTTGACAAAAATACAACAAAAACTGTACAGATGAAACAAATAAAAGGGTGCAATGCAGACATTGGGCAGTAATGCATTCCAAGACACAAATCCCCTTTCTTTCCAAATCCACATTCATTTCAGGATTACATAACCATGAGCTCAGAGGATCCTGGGAGCACAGACTTGTAAAGGACTGCATTTCTTCCTAAATTCAACTCCATCCAGCGCAGTATTCTCTGTAGTATGTGCCAGGCTCTTATATCATGCGGAAATCTAGACCTTTACACCGTGATGTACTCCACTGCCTGAGATTTTCCTTCCAGACCTGCTGACAAGGTAGTTTTCCCTTTTCCCTCAACACCTTTCTTGCATTTACACACTTATTTTTGACTGCTCCTTTCTTTCATTACATAACTAGGTACTTTAAGCATTCTACTTCCAATGAACTATTTGGGTTTTGTAATTCTTCTAGTAATCTGAGGAAGAATGAACCGGAACATTAGGATAACATTCTTATTTCATTTACTTCCAATAGGAGGCTTTTCAGATACTGATTTGCATATATTGCATTCTTGAAAGCTTGTTGATTCATGTTCATTAAGAACATTAAAATGACTAAGAAAATGGCTAAGGTGGTTTAAGGTGGCTCTGATGTACGTATTAAGCAAGCAACTAAGTAAATAAATATGTATAAAATACATAAGTAATAATAAACTAATAAAGTAAATACATAAAGTTAGCAAATATGTTAACAAACAAGTAATATACAATGAAATATGGAGAATAGCATTCTGGTAAGCTTTTAAATAAAGCTAATATTTAAGAAATATATTAGTTTATTATTATTGTTCATTCATTCTTATTGCCTGTAAACTGCATGTAACCTGCTTTTAACCTGTTCTTGATTCCCAACTCTATTTGAAACCACTTTTTCCTTTCTATTTTTTTTCTTCGCTTCTCTGTATCTTTCTCTTAAAGCGAAACATATTGCATGTCTTGGAAGACTAATGATGGTTGTATCATCCTATTGTAATGTCACTGTAGAGGGTATGAAACAAAGGGAAAGTAGAAAAAGAGAACGACTGAATACGAGAGAACTCCAGTGCTCGTTGGGGTTCACTGTGAACTTTTTGATCCCCAACTGTGCGCCGTGATTTATGGTTTAATAATCTGATTATCTGCTTCTTTACACAGGGGAGGCCTATTAGCCTTGACTGACCACCAACAGCCAACAAAAGACTTAAGACGCACCAATCACTCAAACAAACTATGATCAAAGACAAAATTGTACGCCAAACAAAATGCCAAAAAAAGTCAGATTTTTTTGAAAAGGTGGATATGAACAAAGCACTTGTTGCCGTCTAGAGACGGTAGTCAGAAATGTAGTTTTCAAACATGACTTCATAACCATCCCAGAGTTGCATGCATGCCATCTGGATGAATGAGATCCAGGCTACAATATTCCAAAGACACGTCACCCCACCAAAAACATTTGCATCTCTGACAACAAAAGCCCATTGAGCGACAGTAGCTGTGAGAGAACAGAGGAGGGTTTGATAAACGATAAGCTCTCCACTTGAGTCAAAGAACTGGGCGTCCCTGTGGAGGATTCGGCTCTGCCCGCTGGCAGATTGACTTCATTGTTGAATCCCAGCATATCGCCCCACTCCGAGGTCCAGATAGATTATTGTATCTGTGTTTGTATGAAGTAATGCAAGACACCCTAGTGTAAGACACCTTCCTGTGTAAATGATTTTGATCATAAAAATCAACAATCAAAAAAGGAAATTTTTAACATCAGGACATAATGATCTTAAATTAAAGGTACACTATGTAACTTTTGGCACTCTAGCAGTTAATAAACAAAACTGTCTTGCAGAAGAACATTGTAGACAGAGCATACTCTCGCTGTTTATGAATATGACGAGTCATGCGGGTATTGGGCTATACTTCGCAGTGGTTGTGGTCCAGCTCAGTCTAAAATAGTCCAAATATAACATATTATAAGCGTACCATTGTGATTCAGGATAAGACAAAACACAGTTTGGAATGGATTCATGATGTACTCGCTCATTACATACATTTTGTAAAAAAAAAGTATTGGTAAAGACAAAACTTTCATACATCAAATGGATTTCAATACATTCAAATGGTAAAACAAATAATTTTTTATATATTTTAACATTATAGTTCTTACAAAGCATAGTCAAAGCCACTGTATTATGAAATGGCAGTTTATGTTGTAGAACAAAATGTGAAAGTTCTATTAACCTCAGACCTCATTTTACGTAACTCGAATACCGCTAGGGTATTCCCATAGGAACCCATGCCAAATTAGCCTTCCGGGTTGGCCTAGAAATTATGTCATAAATCACAACTGAACGGCTCTATTGCTCCAACAGTAGGAATTCATTATTAACCAATGTATATATGGCTCACAGGGCATGATTAATTATATATAACTGGTTTTCTATAAAGTTAAATTAATTCAGTTTGTTCATTTAATTCAACTGTGTGCCAAGTATTTTTAATCCTTAAAAATTACTTTAGCAATTAGTAAAATGAACCATTCAAAACTGAACTTAGGACAAAACTATCTGACTTAATGAGAAATTATGGTTGATATTGTTAAAATGAAAAGGAGGTGTGATTGAAACAGCAAAATAACATTTTTAAATAATAACAAAATAATGATGTTATACTTTTTGTCAACTGTCATAAACTGATTAACCAAGCTTCACAAAAACACAGAGTCTTTGGTCCTTTTCATGCCTATTTCCAGCAATCTCAGCGTCTGAACGCTTCATTAACAGCGACACTCAGGGGATTTCAGAGCATGTCATTTGTGTTCAGCATCATTACACATCAGTACAAAATCCTAACAGCTCCTGAAAGACAACACACTAGCTAAAGATCTCTCTCCCCCTCTGGACATGTGTGTACATATATCAGAACTCACTGGAGACCTACAACTTCACAGCTGCAACGGACCCTCGTGATCAAACTCCGTGAGGGTCTAACCACACATCTGCAGGGCCTTGTTTCAGCGGGGCCTCGTTTCACAGGGTCCAAGCTGGGATACCAGGAGACTCGCTACGGCCTCGTCAACATTCCTAAGCGTGAAACACACAAACACTCTCACAAGAAAAATATATTAGTCTGTCTCATCTGGCAGGAGGCCGTTATGGCAATGATGGTAGAAAAACAAGGGAAGGATTGTGGGTTAAAAATGGGGAAATATTTTGAGTATGAATATGGCCATCAAACCCACATGTACATAACGCACTTTTATGTACGCAAGACACACAACCAGAGATTAAGACCAGGAAAAATAAAGCAACTATGTTATAAATGATTCACATCTTCACCACAAGCATCATTCATCCCCTGCTGGTAACTCATGATGTCACGATCTCTTGCGTAAAGTGTCCTCTCATGCAAAGCTCATAGAAAGAAGTCAGATGAGACGATCCACTAAATGAAACATTAGAGCATAACATTACACTTGTTTAAAGGGATAGTTCACCCAAGAATGAAAATGGTCATCATTTACTCTCCCTCATGTCGTTCCAAACCTGTAAGACTTTCATTTATCTTCGGAACACAAATGAAGATATTTTTAATGAATTCTGAGTGATTTCTCTCCCTCCATCGGCAGCAACGCAACTACCACTTTGACGCTTTAAGTTGCGTAGCTGCCGATGGAGGGAGAGAAATCACTCAGAATTCATTAAAAAATATCTACATTTGTGTTCCGAAGATGAACAAAAGTCTTACGGGTTTGAACGGTTTACGAAAATCTAATTATTATGGATAAACAACTTTTTCAGAATTTTCATTTTGAAGTGAACTATTCCTTTAAGGAAAGTCTGTTTACTCTGCAACGCCACCGGGCAGCTATTTTGGGCATCCAAGACCAAGTCCTATCTATTTGAATGAGGAATACTGAAATCTCAAAAAACTGCTTGCCGAACTCATTATTAAATAACATTTAAAATCAGCAACAAAACCTGACAAAACGTCCCATAAATGTTGTTTCTTATGCCCAAATAGCGTTGAAAAAAGCATTTTTTTTCAGGCTGGACCAGCCAATGCGCATGTGCAGTCCTAAGCGCAAGTCTCAGGTTTCTAGCGGAACTAGAGATTCTAACGGCAGTGGCGCAATGATTGGCTGATTGATTGG